ATTCAAATGATCATCAGATTTGAAAAATCCAACGTATTTTTCATGACATTGGTGTCTTTATTGGGCTCTTGGCCAGATTGATGGTGGAGGGGTGGATCATTGTTTTTCAGTCAATTCTTTCTCCTATTCATATCATCTCGTATCGTATACTTTCTTTCTCTTCATCATCGATATACCTACTGGCTAGCTCAATATTCAAGAGCGATGCCCCTTAATATTTATTTAGGCTACTCGAGTTACCCCCGAGTGTTTTAAATCTCCATGTAATAGACACCGCGGAATTTTTCTTTCTGGAAAAAACTACCCCTCTAACTCGATTACTCTTCATCGGTCGACCGCGCGGTTAACTTGATCTCTTTGTTTGGACAGTAAGTTAAGAAGAATCTCCTCTGTTTATTTGCCATTTGCCGGAGGTCTGCACCGAATAACACGCCAGCACGCGTTGGGAATTAATAAAATTTGATGCCCGGATTGTTTTTCCTGTGATACTCTGAGGAATTGAAGTGATAGAACAGATTTTTTCCAGTTAACATAATTTTCTGGGGAATTTCGCGCTGAAAGATGGTAGCGTTAACGGCTATGCGAACATTGAAGGAAAACTATTGGTTCACCAGTATAAACGGCAATGTGTTACGACAGTTATACCCGAGTAGACACTTAATGTCCAAAAAACGGAAACTGAGGTTGTGCGAGTCATTAATATTTCCAAGATTTACCTACTATGATTATATCTATGAACCCGCCTTCCAAAAACAAAATGTCTTGCAAAAAATACAAAACAATGATTGAGTGAGAATTCAAGTTCCTACTTTGGATTTGTATACTTTACCATGCCAAAGTTACTTGTATATTGAAAGACGTTATTTAACAAAAGCAGATGGCAGCCCTATCGATAAACTCAGATTCATCAATAACGCCATAAGTTTTCTCTTCAGAGAAATAAGGTATGAACTGAATGGCGTTATACTATTGATTCAGTCAGAAATGTTGGATTAGTATCAACGATCAAAAGCTACCTCTCATACAGTGCTAACAAGAGTATCGCCTTACAAAACGCTGGATGGTTCCCGAAATTGAATTTTTCCATCAAAGATGAGAAAATACTAGTTGATAATAGAGGGAATTATTCTATATGTCTCCCATTATTTCTGCTCCTTGGTTTCTCCGACGATTACCGGAAAGTTATTTTGAACATGAAACAAGAATTAGTACTGATTCGAAATAATGATGACCTTACAGTATCTATTGTACTGATTCCAAGGAAATTCGGAAAGTGCATATCGATAAACTGTTCTGGCGCATCCCCCATATTTCTGTCAATATCAACAACTAAAATTCACAAAAGTTGTGGAGAAGGGACAAGATATACTGTTAGGATTCCGCAGCTGGGAGCTTTTGGAATATTCCAAATTAACGACGACTTAATCATTCAATTGGAATGTAAAAGTTTTGAATTTGCTTGAAACTCCTCGACACGTAATTGTAATTTCCTAGGCAGAGAAGAAGAGTAAGGACCAGTCCGACATGAGCAAATTCGACAGCTGCGACCTATCAAATATTCAGGTTTGCGTATGGGATACGTAAGTTTGACCATATTCAGTATCGCTTTTGAGGACTCTGGTTGGCTGAAAATTGAGAAAATAAGATAAATACATCTGCTTACCTTCACACATAAAATTTTGCATTCAAGAATGCCACCATATCTACGTAGGATATTACTTTCTCTATCACACAACAATGAATTCCGCAATAAACACTATATCATCTCAATGACCAATGCAGTAGCTCTCAGAATTGTCTCTTTCTCCTAGATTTTGATTCGACCAAGAATTCAATTCATAATATAGACATTAAAAGTATGTCAAGTATTACGAATTATTAGGAATAGGTACCAAACAATAACACAAAAAATATTCTTTGTACGGTAGGTAGTCGTTATTGCTATTGAATGTTTTCTACATGTTTGTTTCCTTTGAAGGTTGGGTTTAAAAGCAGCTTCATAGCTGAACCCCGCCTTTGCATCATTCAAGTTACCAATCGAACTCATTTAGTTTTATTGTTGTGTATTTTCTGTTAACTCATTTTGAATGAAGACATTATTAATGGACGAGTTCAGCAATTCATTGCCAACCTTGAAAAAAGCTGAAAACTCTAACAGCTGGAAACAGTTTATTTTCATAAAATATTGATGCCTTTGTTTTCCTCATCGATTTTTTTTTTTTTAGAACAAAATTTATAATTCCCAGCGATTTGGACGCCGGGGACTCCCTGGATGATACAAAAATCGATAAGGACAAGAATGGTATTATTAATATTGTATTAAAATAATCTGTTTTCAGTGGTAGACTTTTTCAGCTATATCCAAGGTTGGCAATGAATTGCTGAACTCGTCGTCTGCGGCATAGTTCATCAGATTCAAGTGAACAACTTTTACTTAAGCACGAGAACATTTGGAGCATGGCATTTGGGTGCTATCCAGAGACGTAAATTGTTTTCTAAAGGTATACCAGGAAATGGCACCTACCATTTTTTCGACACCATACAGGGTGTTGATTAATTGAATGCCGATAATAACATTGTGGACCCTCGGGTGATTTGAAGGAGAAAGGTTCATATCAACATAATATGTCCTAAACCTGTTAGTTTTTGAGCTACAGACTTTTTAAATCATAACATTCAATATCAGGCCTACGTGAACATCACTAGTTAATGTAGAAAATAGATTCCTGTCACAAAACAAAATTTGTTTTTATTATTTTTATTTGTTTTATTGCCTACTGAATTTCAACAAAATACCAAAAACAATCTCAATGAACTGGAGGAAAAATTTTTTTGGATTTAATTTTGTTACCTGAAAACGGTAAGTCTGGGAGCCAAATTTTCTTCAAGATAAATAAGGATTTCAAAAATAATTTTGGTTTTAGAAAAATCAGTAGCGTACCTATCATTTTTTTCTACAAAATTTGTTAGATCAAACCCCGTACGGACGTCTCTGGTGGAAATTTTGAAAAATCTCAGACGTCAGATATTGCTCCCCAATTATGAAAAGGTGTGTACAAAATTTCATAAAATATCTAAGAGTGATAAAAAGTTATGATAAAAACTCACTTTCTTCTTCAAATTTCAACACCCTGCAGCTCAAAAACTGAGAGGTTCAGGACATCATCCCAGGATTCACACCTTGTATTATAAGCACTCAATTAATTAATTGGACGATCTGAGACAGAGTTGATTGAAAAAACAAAAGATCTCTCGGCCATGATGAGGCATATTCCTTAATTTTGATTGAATAACTCAATGAGGGTTTGACTTTGGTATACGCCTCAAGTATAGTCTATCCAAAATCAGTTTTGATGCCTACTCTAATAAGAATGATATTTTCGAGGTCAATTCGACATTGCATCTTCCACTATTCAACTTTTGTATGTGTCATTTTGTTATCGATGAAAATTTTGATGCGAAATCAGACGGTCGGATATTACTCGATGAAATCTTCAAAATGAAGTATCCAAAATCAGGGGGCTGTGCTTGCCCGATGAGCGAAAGCAGAGAAGTCGTTTATCTTCGAATCAGAAACCGACGGGTCCGAGCGTTCCTCCATATTCTCATATTAAAACCTCAAGTTTTCGTTAAACCATTACCCTGTTATGACAGTTATTATCCTCCTTACAAGTCAAATTACAAGGAAACTGAACATTTATTTACATGATATTAACAAGAAAGATTACATGTCCTAACTGAAAATACAATGTTTCAAAGGGCTTCAAATATTTCATAAATACATCGCTTGAACTTCAGGATTAACCAAGAACTATGTCGATTCGTGCTGTTGAAACTTGGAATTCCACGTTCACATTAGTACCTACCAGTACAACATTCCTATGGCAGTCGAAAAAAAACTAGATTTCGAATGAGATATTTCAAGTTCAATTATCATCGATTGGCTTGTTGCTATATCCGAACAATAGCCATACATTGATTGAATGGAGATTCATGCTCATATGATGATTAGACAACAAAAAATATCTATTTGTACAGGGTGTCCCGAAATTACATAGAAATATTTCAACCACAAATTCTAGGAACGAAAATAGTGAAAAAAGTTCATATAAACATGAGCCCAGTAATAGCCCCCTGGGGAGTTATAGCCATCTGAAAAGGGGTCCGAGATGATGTTTTTTTTTGTAAATATTCCCGGAACCCTTCGTGTTGAGATAACTAAATTCTGTGCATAAATATTACTTTTCATGCCCGATTTGGAAATGTTGAGAATTTCCTGAAATTTTGTTCAGGGGATTGGGAAATAGGTGGGGCTAAGGGCATATCTTTCCCCAACTTTTTTTCATTGTAATTTTCTAGTGAATATGGAAATATCATCATTTTTAACTGAATATGATACTCTCGTTTAGTTTAAAAAAAGGTATTTTCCATCGAAAAATGATTTTTTGGGAAATTATAAGGAAAAAGTACTATTTTTGTTACGCAGCAGACTTTTAGAATCGATTCATTTCGAAAATGTTTAGTGCTATTGAAACTGAACAAATTGCATATAAAAAAAAATGGGAGAAGAAATGCCCGTAAGCTGCACCTATTCATAAGCCCCTGATCAAAATTCCGAAAAATTCTCATCATTTCCAAATCGGACCTGAAAAGTACTATACAATGTGACCCACTTCTAATGGAAACACCCCCATGTCATACGTAATCGTTGGGTAACGATCCTGAAATTTGCTGGAGCGAGAGATATACCAAGAATGCACTATATGACCCAGTGAGGTCATCTTCAGTGATATACACTGCTCGCCAACAGCCATGGAACCACCTCAATGAATGAATGATGAAATCACTTGATCATAAAGTGCATTCTTGGTGTTTCTCTTGCTCCAGCAAATTTCAGGATGCTTACCCAATGATTACGTAAGGTACATGGGTGTTTCCATTAGAAGTGGGTCACACTGTACGCATGTACAAAATTTCGTTATCTCAACACAGTGGGCTTTGGAAATATTTACAAAAAACCATCATATCGGGCCCTCTTCCAGATGGCTATAACTCCCCAGGAAGCCATTTCTGGGCTCATGTTCATATACAGTTCTATCACTATTTCTGTTCCTAGAATCCGTGGTTGAAATCTTTCTATGGTTTTTTCGGGACACCCTGTGTAACAAGATGAAAAACACCAAAGGTAATCTCTTCAATATCATTCAATATTCTCAGCTCATCCTGGTCTCATATTGATTCTACCTGTACCCTCTGGTTTTCCTAGTCCTGGTACCCAAGCTCCAGCCTCTGGCCGGCATTGGTTGCACTCGCAAATGCCTTGCACCAAAACAGGACTAGGCAGAATAGGCTGCGGGTTGAACTGGGAGTTGAACAACGGCCAAAAGGGATAGAAGCTGAAAGCCTTATTGCTGGGAATGAAAGAGATGCTGCTCTGGTGTGGAATCATGAGGGGTTTGGAGGATTTAGTCATGTTGGTAACAGGTCTGAAGGCCGATGCTGGGTCTTCTTGTGGAGTGTTGTTGGATGGCTCAGTGGTTGGTTTCGTACTTTCGTTGAAGTGTTCTATTGCCTGGAGAAGGTTGTGGTTACACCTGGAGACAAGGTTACTTCATGCATGAAAAGAGGAACCAATACGGAGAAAAACATTGTTTAAATCAACAGTTCCGGGAATTACTCAAAATTTATCATAAATCAACTAAAAAATATTTTTTTGCCGCAACAATTATTTTTGTTATTTTTCAGCTCATAAGTCATTCAATGTTACCTACTTATTATCAACAATATTAATCAGTAATAATTGGATGAATATACTGGGTGGTTTTGAAATAAGTACACATATTCAGCCTATATAACGATTATTCCCATGATTTCGGTTTTTTTTCAATTCTTCTAATTGAATAGAAAACGGGAAAAAAATCAAGTACGTCCCCCTTTAAAACAATTCAAATGATTGAACTCGCAAAACGCGAATTTGTGACTTCCGCTCGAAAATTTGAACAGAGGTGACGTCAGAATTGCTACAATATAGAACTTTGGGTGAAAAAAGGGGTCTCATCTCAATTTTTTTTCTGATCCCAAAATTTTTTGATTGGTGTCATTCGATAGTGTATACAGGGTGTTTCAGAGTTGTGACAAAATCCTAGGGGAGATTCATCTCAATAAAATATGAGACAAAATTCATAAGAATATTGGTCCGCAAATGCTCCGTTTCCGAGATATAGTGTTAATTTTTTGAAAAAAAAAAATTAATTAATATCTTGAAAACGCTCGAGGCGATTTGAATGAAATTTGTATGGTTTATTTACAGGATTATCAGAGATTTACCGGACCAATTAAATTTGATCCGGAATTTCCAGGACGGCACCCATCGAACAAGTCGGCTTTTTTTGTAAAAAAAAGTCACCCTGTGTTTATTCTCAGGTTCTTCGTATCTACTCTGAAGAACCCATGCACTTGCTATTTTGGCGTATTTTGTTTCGTTTTCGATAAAAACAAAAAATATATGAAATTCAATAACCTCTCTAAAATGAATATAATCCTTAAATTCTGAGAGGAATGTTGTTTCAAGATATGAATGAAAAACTCTTTATTTTACCTTGGCTACACCTTATCTTGGAAACGAAGTATTTTCGGACCCATGTTCATGTGAACTTTTTTTTATATTTTGTTGAGACGAATCTCCCCTAGGCTTTCGTCACCACAACTCTGAAACACCCTGTATACGCCGAGCTTTCTCAGAGTTTGGAATAACAATCAATGCTGCGGTAAGACAAAATATTCTCTTGATTCAATGACATTCGTGTGATCAACATTACTGTATTCAGATTTGACAAAGTATTTTGTTGAACATCTAGCATTTACCATTACATTTCTTCTGAAGAATATAATATATGGAAAATAATATAACTTTCCAGCATGGAATCTGATAGCATGAAAAATAGGGTATCTCAGCTAATACAAGGCATATAATAATATATTCACGAAAAATACCCCAGAATCTCTTAGTCTTTCTTTCTCAATGAAGTTATTGTGAATCAACAAAATTAAAAATTTAATTATTTCAATCAAAAACAATGTCAAATAGAAAAATGGCATATGACTGATTGACAGATGAAATCATTATTGAATCAACAAAACCAACAGCATTCTTATATTCTGCTCAGAATAATTTGTCGTGTTCAATATAAGTCACTCATCTTGTTGATTTCATGAAAGTTTATCTGATTCAGTAACAGAAAGATTCACCAAAATTATTTTGTATATGCAGAATGTCTTTCATCTTCATGAATCATTCATATGTATATGATCTTTGCTATATAGTTGATTATTTCCACCCATTCTATACATAGAAGATATAAAAGTAAACGGTATATATCGCCGTGACAGGTCGCGCCATATTTTTCCCAATCATTCGACCTTACCTTTTCAACACAAGTTCCAGTACAGATCGTTTCTTATTGGGGAAGAGCTGTGATAGCATATCTATCGAAGCAGGGCTGACTACGATTTCTTCGCTGGAATCCATGCCTGTGGGTCCTTCTGTGTTACTGTTGGTTGATGCATCTGATTCGGGAGAAGTAACTTGCATTCCGTATATACGTCCTGGAGGGAGGTAGTCGTAGGTAGTCCCACTTTCTTTTGAAGCTAAGTGTAATGCTATCGCATCTTCAGCAGCTTGTTGTCGTTTTAAAGCTACCTGAATAGAAAGAGAACTCTGTACAATAAACAAAACATGATCACATTTTAGTACTCAGTTTAGTCTAATTTAATTTCATATTAATTCAATAAGAAGTTTACCGAATAATCATTTGAATCGAAAATTAGAATTTCGGTTAGGATCATAATATGAATGTATTCTTCATCACATTGTCATCATCCCAACATACACGGACCCTACCATACCAGGAACTCAGAAACTGTTCTTCAAGTATTATTCTCAGATCCATGGAAAAGCTCATCGAGAACCTAAATGATGGAATCAGAAAGGCATAATCAGGCAGATCAAAAACCATAGAGGGGTTTCACTGTGAAAACCCTAATAGTGAGACAAAAACGTCATCAAGTTCATGTAGCTTTACCAATCATTGAACAAGACACATTTGCTGACCTGTGAATTTTATCAGGCTTGACATGGCAGGACAGTGCTAGAATCAGTGGGTTTCTGGAAATAGCAGGGTCCTTCCAGTTCATATCAAGAGTATATTTTGAGCTCAAGGGCACAAGGGCAACCTAGATGTTCCTGGCACACCACAGAATTGAAGTGAATCACTTATTAAACTAATAGTTCAATATGATATACAAATTAAAAAGTTTTAATATATTTATTTCTATCTGTTACAATCTGGTCTGGTCCTGGCCCACCCTAGCAAAAAATTATTGCTTCGCCAACAGAAGCTTCATCTTTTCCAAAGATATGCTACATGAACTTATCTCACTTCTAGTTTCAGAACGTGAGATTACAGGTGCTAATACTGTGGTGTTGACTCAAAAAAATTACTTTCGACCGAGTGTCACATGTGAACCTTCCAACAGAATTATCTTGTTGTTAGCATCTAAAAAACAATCCAGTGTGTTCTGAAATGATATCTATCCAATTAGCAACTGTTTGTCGAATACAAACGTGTCAAATCTTTCACTTTCGTTTTCACGTCAGGTGTTTCCCAAGGGTCTAATCTGTGACCTCTCTTCTTATTATTCACGTAAACCATATTGCTTTCATTTCCTCTCAGAAGTTACTGTTAGCAGATGATATGAAGATAAATAGAGCGGTTGAGGATGTCACGAATTGTTTGTATTTGCAAAATTACTCGACTTCACTCAATGACTGGTGTATACAAAACAAGCTTTATCTGAATATCAACAGATGCAAAGTGATGAGTTCTCCTCGAGGTCGAATCTATTGATTGAAGATATTGTTCTAGTAATATTACTTGTCTTTATCCCGTACATATAGAGAATTACCATAAAAATGATGTTTTTTTTAGTACAATTGTAAGAAATTCGAGTCTGTTGATATTATTGAAAGTGTTCATTCCACAATAGTCAGAGGCAAACTTGAATATTGTAGCATTGTCTGGAACCCTTGTCAGCAAGACTATACCACTCTCATGGAGTCAGTACAGAAAACAAAATATTCTAAAAAACATGTACAGTATCCTCAGATAGTTTCGATAATAATGCACTATTGGATTATCTCGATCTGCTTTCCTACGAAAATTCCGTGACAAAAGTGACTTAGTTTACATCTATAAAATTATTAAAAAAACACCATCGATTTCTCAACCCTAGTTCAATTTTCACTGTCCGATTATTTTCATGTGTCATAGTTGAAATGATTTTTGGATGAAAAAATATAAGTATATCAAATTTACTTCTGAACTATATAGTACTTATATGATATAGTGATTTATTAATTGTATATACTTAGGTAAGTATATTAGGCCTATTGGATGATGAACAATTGAATAAATAATTGAATAAATGAAAGAACGAATCAAAAATATCTTCGATTCGTTTTGTAGATTATCGACATGTTGGTATGCAGAATACCATATAGATTTCAATGTATTGGTACATGTCCAGTGAGGTGACTGTTTCCATTCCAAATGAAACAAGATAAGGCAGATACCTAATGCATCATAGATATCAAATTTGCTATGATTTTCGATGGGACCCCGTGTTTGCAGAAAGAATATCTGATATACGATAGCAGTCTAATGGATTATCGATTGAAAAGATTTAGCTGGCGATCTTGTACGAACATTCCTATGAAGGCGAGACAAAATATGTATTCACATCCTAATCCTGTCATATTATAATGGGCGTATATATCATGTTGACTTCGCGATAATATACATGTTTTTTAATTCTGAATCCACCTGTAGACTATTATGAAGATTTGATTGTAGGTACGATTTTTTCATTCACCTACGGCCACTATAGAAAGTAAGCAAGAACACACAGGATACAGCCTCAGTAATAATGATAATAATAATAATGGGTCTTTATTTCATCCAAACCATTGATACAATGAACAAATTGTGAATGGGGCGACATTTGGCACGTGTTTGACCGTGTTTGGCACGAAGGACTCCTCCACAAACTACCATCATACGGCTTACCACCTCAGCTATGCCATCTCTTATCGAGTTTTCTTTCAGGCAGATCGCTTCACGTGGTGGTGGACGGTGTATCGTCTGATACCATTGGCATCAATTCCGGTGTTCCACAAGGATCAATTTTGGCACCAACATTATTCCTGCTTCATATCAATGATCTGTTGGGAGTAACAACTTGCCCCATCCACAGCTTTGCAGATGATAGTACCCTCCATACTGCGTTCTCTTCCAGAATTCCCATTTCTTCCCAGGAAACTAAGAACTCACGGCGCAGGCAGGTCAATGCTGTCAATGAAGATCTTGCTGAAATCACAGCCTGGGGAACGAACAACCTAGTTGAATTCAACGCCACCAAAACTCAAGCCTGCATTTTCTCTAGAAAGGCGGAACTCAGTATGCCCGATATTGTAATGTCTGGCTCCACCATCCCCACCAAGCCCACCATATCTATGCTCGGTATTTTCATCAGCAACACTCTTTCATGGGATAATCATGTCAGATCCATCGCAAAAGCTGCTTCACAAAAACTCGGATTCTTGTTCCGTGCGAAAAGCTACTTTACACCTCAACAGCTTCTCATGATCTACAAAGCGCAGATACGGCCTGTTCTAGAATACTGTTCCCACATATGGGGTTCAGCACCAAAACATACGCTGATGCTCTTAGATTCCATCCAGAGAAGAGCCATTCGCCTGGTGGGTGACGCCACACTCACTCACTCTTTGACATCATTGGAACACCGTAGAAAGGTCGGCGACCTTTCACTTTTCTATCGATACTTCCACGGGAAATGTTCTTCGGAAATCTCTGCAATCATCCCTTCACTAGCAATACCAATCAGACGAACTAGACAAGCCCAGTCAGCACATCCTTTCGTTGTCAACCTCGAAAGATGTCGAACAGCACTTTATCAAGACTCCTTCATCCATAGAACGGCTAGGCTCTGGAATTCATTGCCTGTGGAAGTATTCCCAACAACATATAATCTCCAAAAATTCAAAAAAAATTCCCATACCTACCTCCTGTCCCTATCCTCCCTAGGAACGCACGATGTTCTTTGAACATTATAGGGATTCCCTTTCGTGCGCTCCAATCGATAAAAAAAAAAAAAAAATTCAACATCGTTGCTCTTCCATGCATCCCCCAAAAGTGCAATTTCAAATTATAACATCGTAAATGTTGAACGAAACAAAAAATTAGGAATTTAGTGGCATAACAGAACAGATAGAGTATTCAAATAAATTAAAAAAAAATATATTCAACTTAGCTATCAGCTAATATTTTCACAGTTTCACAGGCTTACGTAACATATAGCAACTTCACAGATGAGTGCGCACTTCAACTAGGTGGGATTTGACATGTCTCTTTTATAAAACTTAGTAACCCATTGAATATTTTTGTGGCAATATAAGTAAGTAGCTCTTTACGCACAGTAAGCACATCGCACAGTTTTCGTTTATTCCGCCAGTCATGATCGCGTAATCGCCGTTAACAGCGGATGACATAAATGTAAAGAATTATAATTCAGACTGTTTGTCCAAACTTTATTGATGTGGTATATGGCAGTAGGTAAAGTATAGAACGTATAATGCGTGTTGTGAAGCAACGTAACTTTTCCATTCGTGCGTAATATGCTTCTTAGAACCCAAATTACGTAATAAACTATTAATGAATTCATTTTTGTTAGATGAATTTCAATAGTTTAATTCTAGGTAGTTTCCAGGAAAATATAGATATTTTTCATTGATATCATGAAAATAATATAGTAAATATTATGTGCTAGTAGTGGAACATCTAACAACTAATGATATAAACTACGGTAGGTACTACTACTATAGGTACAAAAGGAAATTCTCGCCTTGCTTCTGTATTTCAATTTTTGCTGAAGCAGCTTGGAAACTAATATAGCTTGCCTTAGAAAAATGTCTTCTGTATCTTGGAATATAATTACTATTATACAGAGTGATTTGAATTGGGGATGAACTCTCAATTCTCCTATATCTCCTTATCGATCAGAATATTCTTCTCGTTCTGAGAATACAGCTTGAAAAATCCGTATCGAGAATATCTCGACTTCCAGTAGTTGTTTATCAGTTCCTCTCTCGATTGTTAAGATACCATTCGACTCTCGATTTCATTTTTTGTTAAAATTTGGTGGTATCGAAAGAGATCCATTCTTTACGAAAGATATCCTGGAATTTCAAATTTTATGTGATGCCTTGATAGTGACACAGGAAATTCGAATCAGGTCCTCGCATCACTTATTTTCAGTCTCCATTCAATTAGACTCCAGATAATGCTCAATATGATTCATATAGATGTGCTGACAAAGATTGGCAATCTATTCTCTTCATATTGTTCGCTTCAAAAACTTCGTCCAGCATTATTATTGATTGTGATGAAATAGTCATTGTGACTTTCAAAGCAACACAATAAAATTATTATTATTATTATTATTAAAAAGTGATAATGGGCTGAGGTGTGAACCTATAAAAGCCCATTTATACATGACATAGTTGTATGGTACACATAAAGAAATATTATATATATATGTAAATAGCTACTAGACAAACAATTAGATTAAAAATAAAATTGAAAAAACAATTAAAAATGTTGAATAGAAATTGAACATTTCGAAATAAAATAGACAGATATAATGCGATGCAAACTGAAAAAAACAAAAACAATTTACTCAGTAATACGATCTAATCGACTTTTGAATGATGATACTGAGGGTGCATTAACTATGTCTGTATCCAGGTTGTTCCATGCCGAGACAACACGATTTACTATGAAGTTTTGCCGATTTGACGACCTGAAATGTTCCTTCTTAAGTTTAAAATTATGTCCTCTTAATCGTGTATCATCGTTTATCTGGAACATATCACTCAGTGAGGGAATCCGATAAGTTAGGATCAAGTCTCCACGATGTCTTCGATCTTCGAATGTTGTCAGGCTTAACTGATTCAAACGTTCATGGTATGATGGTCTTCTGAGACCGAAGGACATTCGGGTTGCTCGTTGTTGCACAGATTCCACAGATTCCAAAATGTATGATTTCAGGATTTTTTTCGTGAATAATAGATCTCTCTCGATACTATCGAATGAAATCTTGAAGAAACTATTTCAGAGTTGAAAGATATCTAACTAACCAGAAGAGGAACTGATAACTTATACAACTGAAAGTCGAGATATTTTAAAAACCGATGCATCAACAGACTTTTTGAAACACACTGTATTTTCAGAACAAGAAGAATATACTGATCGTTGAGGAAATATAGAAGAATTCAAAATGCATCCCCAACTCATATTTACAGGGACATCGTCAAAAATATATACCCTATCGAAATTATCAACCTGATTGCAAAAATATCGAAATTGTTACAAGACTTCTTGGAGAAATAGATCATCTGTTGTGATCATTCAAACGATTGAAATACAATCGAAGACGGCAACATTGCCATGTTCATTCACAAATACAAATTGAAGCCTCTGGAAAGTGGAAATCACCGTGTATTGGTAGGTGAATTAGTCTCGGGTGATTTTGATTTTCTATGGGTAACATAACCGCGGAAATGTGAATACTAGTGAAGAGTTTCAGTAATGAAACACACTATTTTGATGACATTCCACAAAATAATCATATTAACAGAACAGTGTAATCAATCAATGAGAATGAAAAAAATATTTCGAGATATGACATCAAACTCCATGATAAGATATGAGGAAACCAGAAGAAACATTTTTTCTTCAAACACTTAACAATGTAGCCTTTGACGCTTTCAAATTCCAACACAAAGTTGACGTTTTCCCAGAAATGTCATTCTTTGACAGCATTTGCGCTCATGAGCGGAAATATTGAAATTGAAAACTCCCAATTCTTTCATGATGGAAAATAGTGACAGTGAACTATCAAACACACCTCCTGATATAGCAGAAACTGCAAAAGTTTGAATCTCTCACAGGAGAAATCAAGGAAGAAATATGAATTACAATATGATTCATTCATAAATTGGTGCCTCTCCAAGAAGGTGAATGAGTATTCAGAAAACGTTCTACTGGCTTATTCTGGTGAAAAATCGAAGACTTTTAAGTCATCAACCCTTTGGTCTATACCATATTCGATGATACGTACTTATACATGATTGAATGTTAAAAATAACATCGGAATCAATAAGTATCCGAAACTTATCGCATTTCTCAAGAAACAATCTATTGGATATAAAGCGAAAAAAATCCAAAACATTCACCGCTAAAGATATATACCAACAAATTTCTACAAGAAGCTCCTGATGGAGAATATCTGTTAAACAAGGGAAATGATACTTCATATTGAAACTCTTTGTTATCATCAGAAAGACAGTGTATCTTTATTTTATTGCATCAATGAGTTATGTTCAATTTGATTGCGGAGTTTATTGTACTATGGCTCAGAGGTCTGAAGCTCAGGTTGCCACGCTGGTGGTCCGGTATCAATTCTCGGTAGGCCCGACATTTTTTTTCTGGCTTGTCAGTTATTTCAAGATTTCTTTGGACATATGGGATGATATGGATAAGAACTATTTCAATCGCTCATATTCTCAGGGTAATTATTTCCAAAGATTACCGCTAACTTTCTTTGTCGAGCGGTAATCTATCACTTTGTGCTCTAAATACACAAATAGCTATTGGAGGGAATGGGATCACTCACAAGTTTGCATTGCCCTGTAAAATATATTTTCCCACTTTTTTTCGTTCGAAAAATCCATGATTCCGAAGACAATAAAATGAGTTTCTAAAATCTGTAAACCGAATTGAATTTTGTTAATTTTTTTGGAAGTTATAATCTTACTGAATTTCAACTATTTTGAGTATCATAAAACTAATTTGGAATGTATGTTTCAAAGGTATCCAAAAGTTAAAATTACCTGAGCTGCCATAATCCTTTGTCGCTCTTTGATGAGACCACATTTTTGACAGGAGCAGTGTTTATAAATGCACTGCTTCTTGTGACCTCGCAGTGTAGATATCATACCATGGTTTCTGCAACGGGCGCATTTTGGAATTCTCGCTGGTTTGTTCGCACCATGTGCAACCATCGTTTCCTAAAAATATACCATTCTATTCAATACACAAGCTATCGAGAAGAAAACATTCAATGAAGAACTCTTCCTTGTGAATAATCAAAATGATAGAACTTTAACTTATTTCGGATCATCAACAGAAAAATTAGCTCCCGGTGTCAATAATCGTGATTCTTCCACAAATCTTTGTGGCAGCACTTCTAGTCTTTCCTTCAGTGTGGCTCAAACTCCTGATCCAAATGAGCTACCTGATCTAATAAGTGATCTTGATGACCATTAAACGGGATTTTCCTACCAAATCCAATACTCAGGTTCTCAAATTTCTATCGATTTCCAAGAAGAATAAGGATACACCAGTATACATACAGTGTGTCCCACTTTGAGCAGCACCACCTTGGTATTTTCTTAATCGCTGACAGATTTCAAAAATTTTTTGTTTCAACATGTACTTCTCAATGAGTTCTACATTTCTGAGTATCCAACACTCTGATTGCACTACGACACGGCCAATTGTGATAAATTGAAAATGCCTAAAATCAGTTAGTAATATCAGGAATTTTTTCAGCAGAAAACTGACATTCCCAACATGTTGAGAACATCCTCAAATACATGTGGTCAAATTTTCATGTCGATATCATATACAGGGCGTTATTTATAGTCGATCAATTTTTGATGCTTGAAAATGATGAGAAAAGTATAAGTAACATCATGATTTCATTCAGATACTACTTAAAAACACATGTTCCATAATGACCATAATGAAAGTTGCGATTCCACGGCAGACTTGATCATCATTTTGTGAACTCCTTGAGTGAAAATTGATGGGATCGGTATATTTTTTGGGGTAATACCATCAGTGAAACTTGATAAAATATTCTTGTCATCCTGAACTCAAGGGTAGGTATTTCAAGACCTTGATGATTTCTTCTTCATCATGCAATCTGTGATGAAATAACTAGTTGAAGCCTTATCGGCAAATGATCAAACCTGAACTAAATTGAACCATTACTTTTTCAAGTTAAGTACGTGCCTTGAGGAAAAAAAAACAGAAAATATGAAAATTGAATTGAAATATCAATACATACGTCACCCTGTGTATGAGTCATGAAGAAAAGTATGAAACAGGTGTTTTTAAGTAGTATCTGAATGAAATCATGATGTTAATTATACTTTTCTCATTATTTTCAAGCATCAAAAATTAATTGACAATAAATAACGCCCTGTATATGATATCAACATGAAAATTTGACCACATGTATTTGAGCGAGTTCTCAGCATGTTGAGAATGTCAGTTTTCCGCTGAAAAAATTCCTGATAGGTATTACTAATTGATTTTAGGCATTTTCAATTTATCATAGTTATGGCCGCGTCGTAGTGCAATCAGAGTGTTGGATACTCAGAAATGTAGAACTCATTGAGAAGTACATGTTGAAACAAAACATTTTTGAAATCTGTCAGCGATTAAGAAAATACCAAGGTGGTGCTGCTCAAAGTGGGACACACTGTATATATTTGCAATGCGAAAGGCTTTGAAATCATGTGTTGGAAGTAGGGTAGTTCCACTTGAAATTTCAAATTTGGATTTGCTTGGGATTAGAGGGATGAAAAAAATCGAGTTTGACTGTGATAAAAAGAGCTGTACCACGTGTAATACATGAACATATTGGTAAGTTATATTTTAATATCATAATACATCATATTATTTTATTCGATTTGAGAGATGATGTCTCAATTTCAGAGGATTTCCATTTATCATGCTCTTTTGTTGGATGTTCAACACATACAATTCAATGTTCGACGTGGCAAATAGCCAGGAAAGTAGTTGTTTTCTGTTGAATATTCAGAATGATATTATGTGCATATCTTTATATGAGGGAGAATACGAATTGTCTTCTTCAGAAGATTTTGTTCTCAAATTTTCATCGTGTATGTTCAATAGATGTAATTCAATGTTCGCCGTGGCATATAGCCAGGACAGTAGTTATCTTCTGTTGAATAAACCGAGAAAAAGTTGATATTTTCATCACATAGAGAATGCGAATTTTCAATGTATTTCTTTATATATATATATATATCCATTTCCATATCCAAATAAAAATCAAAATAAGTTGATTTGACCCAATTTATTCATATAACAAAATGTACCGTTTACATAAAAAATACATTTTTGTACACTGTTCCATAATGAGGGAAACCCATTGGATGAAATTTGACAAAAGTGCATTTTAGAGGATTTTCCATCTTTCGGTAATGAGAGAAACTCAAAAGAAATTGTAGTAGGGTTGAAGCCGCCCTCACCCCTGACATTTTTTTCAGAACATTCTCATTATTTCATTAAGATCATTTTATCAAAAAGTTTAGTTGACAGGGGAAACAAAGGTAGAACGTTATTTTTCAAATTGATGTTCAATATGATGCCCACCTTCATCAATACAAATGTCAATTCGTTCGTTTCCACTGAATAATAAATAATTTTGTATTACAATTTCATAAAACTTTTGTGTTAGCATTATTTGAGGAAACATTCTTTTCTTTCGAAACTATGTGGAATACGAAATTCTCACAAGAGTAACAAAGTAAATGTAATTAATCAGTCATCTCGTTGAAAAAAATTGTGAACTCTATTACCACCCCTAAAAATGTTCTGAAAAAAATGTCAGGGGGTGAGGGTGGTTTCAACCCTTCTACAATTTCTTTCAGGTCTCCTTGATCACTATAAAAAGGTTCAACCTCATGAATGCACTATTGTCAAATTTCATCCAATTTGTTCCACTCATTTTTGAACAGTGCACAGGAATATGTGTTTTCATTTTAAACTTTGAACTCGTCTCACGGACAAAAGGAAGATAATTTTTCAATATAAATAAGTTGGGCCCAATAAACTTATTTTGAACTGTATTACACGTGGTAGCTTTTTAATTTTGGGTATCCCTATAGGAACAAAAATTGATGGGTCCAGGCGAATTCCCATGAAAAAAATCGGTTTTCTGAATTTAGGAGGGATCAAGGATTATTGTAAGACTGTATAAACAGGGTGTGAATGAATGAGATCAAAGAGAGTTCAGATACAGAAATGACAAATGTTAGTGTTTTTGAATGTTTAGATTCATCAAGTTAGCCCACCTTGCATTGTAACAAGAACATCATAGTCGTTCGGCGCTTTTTCATTCAAAATTTTTTGAATTTGACAATGATCTCCATGAACGTCAGAATTGAAATATAATTCCGTCAACTATTGGGAAGAAAGCATGAATGGAAATGTCCTGCTCTGTATTGAATTGTGGGAATTCTGAAGCTAATGGTTTCCATTCCTCTTATAGAAAGAATGTATGATACGGCCTGGATGGAAAATTAATTTGAAGACAAGCAAAATGTGGAAGGTACATACATCCTTCTCATGACAGAAGATTATAATGAAATTATATTTCAAGCCAATTTTCGAAAAGAAGATGTTGAGATCCGTTAAAAACATATCTACTATTAAAAAAATCCAATATTATCATCACACGGAATGCAAAACAAAATCATCATTGAGAAAGAGGAATTGATTGCAAAACTGCGTAATGATATTGAAAATTTGAGAACGAAACTGAGGAAATCAAGTGAATTGCAACGTGATATGTATAATGGCGTTTTAAAAACCGACTGAATTCAAAATTTATCAGTGAAAAGTAAATGCAGCAAAAGGTGGAAGCGAAGAAAGTATCGCTATAAATTGAAGTAGGTGTTCATACCCTATTTCTATTTACCATCTACAGCTATGATCGGTTTGACAGAAAATCTAACCTTTAAAATCGTATCTGACAAACAGGCACTACTAGGGAAATTGAAAAGACACAGAGCAGAATATGTGTCTTATTCTTTCATTCACTCAAACCATTGTAATATAGAAAATAGAGAAGGACAGAAGTTCAGCTGTGTCCGAACTCTCATCAAACTATAATACCATTCAGTGACTCTAACTCAAAGCACATATTATTTATGTGAACTTTTTTCCTAAAAGAAATCATCTCCAGATTCCTAGATTGGTAGATACTATTCATACTATGCATCATAGTTTTTGCCCAATGAATTGATTCAGGCATTGAGTACATAATGATCAAGTGTAAGTTTGATCTCGAGAATATTGATTGTTAGATTCGAACTTACTTTGTTATATCGTACTTTATCCAGTAGATCACTTCAGTAGTATCCAGAAACCCACATACTCACTCAAAACGGCAAGTACTTCACATTCACTCAACTGTAACTCAACTCGATATAACAAATCTCTTACAAAGAATACCACGAGAAAAGATACGAATCAAAAGATTCTCATAATTTTCGCGAGTGATACAGCACAGCTTCCAGATTTTCAGCCAGTAGCAGATGAGGCATGCTCATCCTTTCCTGCATAGGATATGATGCTGACCAATGAGGAGATGGGGAATGCTGAAAGACACGCCTCCCTTCAGGATGTGCCTGATATGTTTAATTATAGAGTTTTGATAGATTGCAATTTGCTTTTAATGCTGGCAACAACATAGTATTGGTTTCAGTAGCGACTTTCAGCTGTCAATGAAATTCATTATTTCTAACGCATATGGATTTAAAAAAAAACTCAGAGACGTAGGTAGGTCGATTCTCAAATTCAAATAGATATCTCTTGATACAAATACGAAGTTTATTATCATCCGCATAGTTGTGATGACGTCATCGATAGTATTTTCTATGTGTCGATTCATATTGTTACGTTATTCGGGTGCAGAAGCGAACACGACACTATTTTTTTTCAAACCGATTTATTTGAACTAAAGAAACACTAATTCATATCGAACTTATAACTACTATTTATGTAAAACATATATCACGCGGTATATAACTGTCTATCTGACACTCGCTGCTTAACTGACTGACGGCAGTTGTCCGGCCGTTTATATATGAGATCCCTTGGTAGGTTTTGTTTTTTCGAATGTTCTCGAATGATCTTCCTTTTTGTTCTAGAAGCTTCTTACTTCTTAGAACAAAACCTCCCTCTCTAATTATTGTTCCATCTATTGTTTCCAGAACATTCCAGAATCTTCTGTCACGTTATTTGTCACCGCGACATATATTGAGTGTTCGGAAATAGGCTGGTACATGTAGGAATCATTGGGATGTTGAAGAACAATCTGAGATGCGTGTTACAGGATGATCGTTGTACTCTTGCCTTCCTGATGATGTTTCCAGAGCCCCTCTAAGGGAAATATCACTATAATATTTTGAATACTGTTGACAATAAACGTCTGAGTACACCACTGACATGATGTCAATACGTTTCTCAATTATTCCATTCATTACCTCACTTTCCTTTCGATTGATAGGTGATATTCAGTTTTATGCAACTTAAAATGCTCATTCGATGTCTCTTATATAATTATTGAATTCCTCCCCCGTTTCCACTTATTTATCTTGGTCTGCAAATTGATAGTCGAGGCCTTAGCCGAGGCTAGCAATCAGGCGAGACAATAGACATTTTTTCGCCGAGGTGCATATTATTTTTCGTCGACCTCAAACACTTATATCCACATCACGGTCCTATCCACACGTGAAATTAATCGGATTTCGTGAATAATTTATTTGACAACAGCAAATGACAGTTGTTGTCAACTCACTCTCCGCGCAGACCAGTGTTGCCAGTTCGATTTTTATTTCATATTCTCTGATGAAATAAAAATCTTGTCAAAAATGCAGATCTATTTTATGCTATACGAATTCCAAGAATTGATGGGAAAACATTATGTACTATTAGTAAACAGAAAAGTAACCTATTCCCAACAAAATATGAATAATATAAAAAGCAGGAACAAATAGTAAAAATGAATAACAAAAATACAAATAAATAAAAAAATTAAACGTAAGAAACAAACGGTTATAACAGAGGTATATGGGATAAGATAAGGTATTGTGCTTTTTTGGTTCATACATGTCATTAGTACCTATGTGTGAATTTATTACCTACTTATTTTGTAAAATCAATTCAAACAGAGCGTGCCATAATATCATGCAATGTATAATAAGTGTATGTGATTTTGTGATTAACTTAAGATTAATAATAATATAGGTGATTATGATAATGAATTAGTGTCTACATGTTTTTCAGTAGGTTATGAAAAGTTTCAGTAGATCAGTAGATCAATATGGAGATCAGGAGATCTAACGAAAATTCAGTAGAACTGGCAACCCTGCAGCAGACGAAAAGTTTTTGCGGACGTGAAGTTAGTGTCTGCGGAGGAAAAGTACTTGCCTTCGGAAATAGTCGGTGTTTTGTTAGGATAGAATGTAAAGTGATGTTTTGTAGAGGTCGACGATTGAATTGTCATTATTTGGCATAAGATCCATTCTAGATGTTGTAAAATACAGAGTGACCCATTTGAAAGCGGCCACACTCATGGTTGTTTCATTTATGGAGCGATTTCCACGATTTTTTTTTTATGTAGAGGGAGGTTAGATGTATTCTGGAGCTGAGCAGCGTCCACTTTTTCGAAAACCAAGGCCTACTATCGGTGTCTCCTGGAATATATATGTACCAAGTTTCTAGAGAATATATCCAAGATAACGAGGGAGCTGTTGGAGAGTTGACCAAATGATGTTTTTGCCAAATCTCATAATTCACCCTATATATTGGAAAAGAAGTGAAGAAGACACTTTCTGATGGACGCCACACTCACTCACTCTTTGACATCATTGGAACACCGTAGAATGGTCGGCGGCCTTTCACTTTTCGGGAAATGTGCTTCGGAAATCTCTTATCCCTTCACTAGCAATACCAGTCAGACGAACTAGACAAGCCCAGTCAGCACATCCATTCGTTGTCAACCTCGAAAGATGTCGAACATCACATTATCAAAACTCCTTCATCCATAGAACGGCTAGGCTCTGGAATTCATTGCCTGAGGAAGTATTCCCAACAACATATACAGGCTGATTCACGGTGGATGGCACATTAGACGTTTCTGGTGAACCAGACAACGAATCATTTTGAAAATTCAATGGAGAGCATATTCGGACATTCTCTAGCCAACTAAAATAGTTTCGACAATGCGGTGTTGCCGCTTCTATTAGAAAGCAGTAGCAACTTTGATTTTTCAAATGGAACACTCTGTATTTTATTGCATTTTTAGATTCTCCCTGAAGAGTTGATTTCATCGATGTATCACACTTGGGGTCTAGCGGAAATGATCAAAGAGATATAGGGTGTGAAAAATCGACATTTTTCAACTTTAGGATTTTTTTGTGTCGAAACTATTCATCATTGGTCAAAACGGCTTACTTGTCCCTATCTCAACTTTTGATTAACTATCTACTGATATTTAATTGGAACATATACCGGGTGATCAAGATTCTGAATTCTGCACCACCCTGTATTTGTTTCAATTAAATGTTAGTAGATAATTGATCAAAAGTTGAGATAGGGACATGTGAGCCGTTTCGACCAATAATGAATAGTTTCGACAAAAAAAATTCCTAAAGTTGAAAAATGTCGATTTTTCACACCCTATATCTCTGTAATCATTTCCGCTAGACCACAAGTGTGAATCAGGGAGAATCTAAAAATGCAATAAAATACAGAGTGTTTCATTTGAAAAATCAAAGTTGCTACTGCTTTCTAATAGAAGCGGCAACACCGCATTGTCGAAAATATTTTAGTTGGCTAGAGAATGTCCGAATATGCTCTCCATTAAATTTTCAAAATGATCCGTTGTCTGGTTCACCAGAAACGTCTAATGTGCCATCCACCGTGAATCAGCCTGTATAATCTCCAGAAGTTCAAAAAAAAGTCCAATACCTACCTCCTATCCCTATCCTCCCTAGGAACGCACGATGTTCTTTGAACATTATAGGGATTTCCTCTCGTGCGCTCCAAGCGATAAAAAAACATTTGGTATTCCTCTCAGGGACCTTTATTCGTGGTAGGAGTATGTACATTTCCTCATGACAGTCCATGACCCTGTATATCCCTTCTAGGTACCTACTCACGATGTTCTACGAACATTTTAGGGATGCAAAGACTTCAGAGAACGAGGATATCACCCCACTATATCATTTTGTGCCCCTATTTTTCCGAAATTCTTTTTCTTGGAGTGTTAGGGTTGGGGTAGAAACTTTTGTAAAATTTTCATTTTTTCATAAAATTCATAGTTTTTTTTCAGACTGCAGTGAGGGTGTGAGAAAAATTTTGATTATTTCATTTCTGATCTTTGTGGACATTTGAAAATTCCCTGTCACAGTTTACAAAAACTCTCCTGGATTTTCCCGATTCTGAATAAGTCAATTGATTAGAGAGTGGTAGCGTCCCAGGCAGCACCAGATATTCCATGAATCTCCCTATCATATTCCTTTTGGAATATTGGAATATTCTAGAAATAATCTGGAATATTCCGGAATATCTGTGGAATATTCTCTAAATATGCGAATGGGAATTCCTCAGATATTCATAGAATATACCCAAAAGAATATTCTATGTTGAAAGTTCCTGGAATATTCCAATAAACATATTCTGAAATAAAAAAGTGACCCAAGTAGGGATCGGACTCGTGACCTCAAGAATATCAGAGCAACGCCTTGACCACTAGGCCAGTAGTCGAATTGAATAATGTTGTATGTACATATCAATTTCTTGTTGATGTTCGATACTCACATCTCTGAAATGATGATTGGTATTTATGTGTTGAGAAACATTGGAATATTCATGGAATATTTCATGAATATACCGCACAGAATATTCAGTATATTCAGTTGAGAATATTTCATGAATATATCCCACAGAACATTCAGTTGGGAATATTTCATAAATATTCAACAGAGAATATTCAGTTGGGAATATTCCTGGAAAATTCATACCTGAATATTCCCTGAACATATCCGACTATTCACTTTGGAATATTCCTTTTAGATGTTCCAGAGGCATGTTTATATTCTAGGAATTATCTATGAATATTCGGAATATACTCCTCCTTTTTAGCATATTTAGAGAATATTCTAGGAATATCCAGTGCTGTCTGGGGGAATATTCCATGAAAAAATCCGACGAATCGAATAAGCTGTTGGAAAGCTGTGACCGAAAGATATTTTGCCAAATCTCATAATTCACCCTATATATTGGAAAAGAAGTGAAGAAAACACTTTCTGATGGACATTTGGTATTTAGTTCCTCATGACTCACCCTGTATATCCCTTCTAGG